ATTCATGATGAAATGTCAAAGCATACTGAGCATCTTTCTCTTTGACACCATGTCTGAAATCCCACGTGATCTGTCAAATACTAATGCATGAAAATCCTAACCTCAAAAAAATCACCCGTTACGTTTATACACTCAGAAAAAAGAATTTCCTTAAAACAAGAAACCAGTTTCTTTATTTGAGAGTTATTGTTTTTGCTTAATATTGCGAAAAATTTACACAATATTGAGAAGTTTTTCCTTAATTGAGTAGTCCACTTGCAAACAGCGTTATGTGATTTTATAATAGTAAGCCATAAATTAACAAAGTAAAAAAGTATAAGTTCGACAGAAACAACATTATATACCCGGCGCACATGTTAAATATCGTTTTTTCACTTTTCAGTAAACTGCATGATAAGCAAGAGTATTTTTCCAAACAGTTCGATAATATACTATGATTTATTAAAATAATTGGACCAAGTTTGATGGAAATCGGTAAGGCGGTTATCCATATACACTTATGTAGTCATAAGTGGGTGAGTGCCATGCCTATTTAACAAAAATCAATCATCTTGTGTCTTGTTTCTCGTTAGGTGATTGTTGTAAGTGGCGTTTTAAGTTATTGAAAAATCGGAGTTTTCGTATTTCTGAAATTTACCGTTACATGGTAAGTGGCAGTAATTTTAGTCCGATTTCAAAAATTTTCAACATATTGCTTTTTTGCGCCAAGAGTGATAAATGTACCGAGTTTGGTAGAAATTGAAAACCCAGTTACCGAGATACAGATATGTAGGCGTAACTGGGCGGTGTCACGCTCATTTTCAAAAACTTCCCTAAGTGTCACTTCCTGTTAAGAGGTCCATTGCATATATGGATTTTGGCAGAATTAGCTTAGATAGTTATTAATCTATCGCAGTTTTCGTATTTCTGTAAAATAACGTTATATGGGATGTGGGCGTTGTTTTATCTGATTTCAAAAATTTTCAACGGTAATGTTCGCACCGAGTTTGGTGGGATTGGTAAAGGAACTACATAGATATAGAATTGTATCATAAGGGGAGGGGGCACGCCGAAATTCTACTTCGCATACCAACTTTCAGCAATTTTGATCCGGTATTTGCGGAATATCGTAGTTTTTGCATATTTCGAAAATCCTGTTATATGGGAGGTGGGCGTGAATTGTCCGATTTTGCCCATTCAACCAAAACCTTGTATAAAGAGAAACCTAATTACAAATTTTGTTGACATATCTCAATTTTTGTTCGAGTTTTCGTGTACATGGACAGACGGACAGACGCACGGACGGACAGCCATGGCTTAATCCATTTATCTTTTCCATTCTGAGCATTTATGTATACATTTGCCTATATCTATCTCGATTCTTTTTGGCTGTTATGGCTGGTTTTCACTATGTCATATTGTGATGCCAAAATTCTCGACATATTTTGACAGAACTTTATCTCCTTTATGCCTACCTTTATAGACAATATTCTGTGCCAAAAACAGACAGATCGCCGATTTATAAGCACACGTACACGACTAAAGACAAGAGTAAATATTGCAAGAGTAAATAGTTAACATTTGATGATATTTTTTCTGAATATAGAAAGATTTTCCACTGGGTTGTTAGTGGACAAGAAACTATTTTAAATACTGGTACGTTACCCATTAAAAACTACTAATCGAACAAATTTTACATAGCGCACTTTGCAAGTGGACTACTCAATTCAGGTCATGCCAAAAATAGTGCGTAATTAGTTTGTTCCATATAAGTAATAATTTGTTCAGTGCTGTTAAGACGAAGTTTATTGCTTTCCTGGCATATGTGGCGTCGCGTGAAGACTACTGCTTCTGGTTCTGAATCGCAGGTTCGAGTCCGGTTTGAGGTAGTTAGAGCAAGGTAAGTCAATTATTTCAATTCAAATATAAATTACAAATTTTAAAATTTATTTCATATGCAAAAACCTAAATAAACAAATACCATTAAAAATAAATTAGATAATTTTTTTAATACAATTCAAAGAATTACAATAAAAAAATAATAAAATATATAAAAAAAAAATCCTGCTCTGGGACTCGAACCTTGCATCTCTCGACTAGCACTCCAGAGCTTTGCTCTGTCGGCCATTGCGACTGTTTCAGCGCCGCGAGGAAAATTACATACTTACTCCTTTCACGGCAAGTTAATTTTTCCTAAGTAGAGAGAAAATAGTTCTGAAAACAATTAACTGTGTTTTCCTTAAACTGAGCCAAATCGTTTACTCATATTAGGGAAGCCATGTATTTCCTTAGAATAATATACTTTTTTCCTAGCATTAACGAATGTCTTTTCTGAGTGTACAACGTCGCATTTCAGTACTTACACTGCACATCCAGGTCAATTTGCTGCTCAGAGATGCCCTTGCCAATGGCATTTGATAGTTGACAGGTGTAGTTGCCGACATCTTCCTTGTCAGTAGAGCGTATAACCAGTGCAACGTTCTCAGAATTGCCCCCCTCATAACGTTCTGTGTCGTTGACATTGACTAAATCACCGTTGCGATACCTGAAAATGAATGAAATATAAACATATATTTTAGTTCAAGTTGTGATGGTATACGTATGTACATTAGGGTGGTCCAAAAATGCATGTGAAAAAGTAAAGTCGGAATTTTTATGCTCTCACCCCCTAGGATTGTTCTGTACCGCAAAAAATATAAGTTTTTTCATTGCAACTATAATTTATAGGTTCGCCAAAACCCCACGAAAACACCGAAAAATGCAATAGGGCGACCAATAAAAAATCGCTAGCATTAAAAAATGGTTAAATAAATAATCAGGTATTATTACTGAAAGTCTCCTGAACAGCACCAGAGTTTTCCGATCGAAAAATTGACTTTCAAGAATTCTATACCATTTTTACGAAAACAATTATTTTTCCCATATAAAAATACATGGAAAATTTTGAGCGCTTTGAGCGACTCCAAATATTTTTTGGTTTCAAAATAAAAAAATTGGGGTATACTTTTTTCGATATAGAACAACCCTAGGGGTTGAGAGCATTACAATTCCGACTTTACTGTTTTCGGATCACCCTAATGTACATATGTGATCTATACATACATATGCATATATTGCACCATGTACATTGACAATAAGTGAAAACGTTTAAATTGCTGAAGGTATATTGGTTTACATTACAAACATACAGAGTGGATTCATGATAGATATTTTTATACCCGAGCGCACTTATGCACAAGGGCATTATAACTTTGTTCACATAACGGTTGTTTGTACAGGCAAAACGAATCGAGATAGATATATACAAATGCATACATAAATGATCAGGATGAAAAGAGTAATCGATTAAGCGGTGACTGTCTGTCCGTCCGTCCGTCTTTGCACACGATAACTCGAGTAAAAATTAAGATATCTTAACGAAACTTGGTACGTGTACTTCTTTCGGGCGTATGACGGATGGTGGCCAAAATCGGACAATAACCACGCCTACCTCCCATATAACGGTAATTTTCAGAAATACGAAAACTGCGCTATTTTAGTAACTACTGAAGATTATTCACTCAAAATTGATATTTACAATAATTTTAAGACGAAAAATAAGAATATTGTTCGTTGTATATGACGGCAGTAGCTCTGGTTGGGGAAGTTTGGAAGGCAGCCAGGCTGGAAGCGGCAAACAAGTGGGACCTTTCCTTGAGTCTTTGAGCTCGGGTCTGGCTTCACGCGGAACTTTCCCCGCCAAGGCATATCGAGGAGATCTTCCGCTATTGTAACCCGAGTTTTCCAGCGCACATCTTATATGCGATGGTGATTTGGTTTCAGAAGTCGGAGGAATCTTATCGGCAAGCGCTGATGTTGCTGAATACAGCAGCTACTGCAGCTTTATATTGTTGTATAGTCAAGCAGCTGCAATGAGCACAAAAAGCTGCCAGAATTAGAATGAGTGCGGTATTCTGATTGAACCCGACTGAACATTGCGATTGAAATTGTTAACAGGCGATTTCACTATTAATAAGTAAGTTATCTTAAGTAGTCCTTTCTCACTTTACGAACATGACATTTCTTTCTTAAGTAATTTAAAGCACTTCCGCACTTTACTCGTATAAACATTTGATCTCAACGTTTAATAATAATAAAATGTTTGGCGTTTACACTTTTGCTGAGTATTAGTCCTCGCTTCTTCTTCCAATTTGTAGTATGCGCGCGGACTTTGTTAAGAATGACCGTTTTACATTGACTCCAAACGGCGACTGTATTTTTATGGAATGCTGTTTTCATGGATCGCTGTAAGAAAAATGCTTTCTAATTTAGATGTTTCTTGGGCCAGAGATCGACTCCAGATCCAAGTAGTATGCACCTCTAACCACTCAGCCGCGGCGACTCTCAATATTTATAAACTTCAAATAAACATAATTCTACTAAATATAAACGCTTTTTATAGCGTATATTAAGTTATTTTTTAAAACACTTGCAAAAATGCTTCTGGGTATGTTTATACTAATGTATTGTATGCACATATCTACATATATATTATAAATATTCTCGTTGCATATAGTCGAATTCCGTTAGTGAGGCGTTCTAAAGTTTTATGACTCGCTCCTTACGGGAATCCTTTCCTGTAACATTTTCCACGCTTGCATAAGCAAAGCATGAGTCAATACAATGTTACGTAAATACAAATTGACAATCTAAATGCGAAAACTGCATGCAAACTGACTTTCCGCTTAAAATTCACGATAATCAAGGAAGCAATGGACGAAGTTCGTAGGTGGGATAAATCAATTGTCATAGTATTTAGTACTATGGAATAAGGAGACAATGTTGAGCAATGCTGTTGTTGAGGCGAGGAAGGGAACGTTAGTTACTTGGAACCGATTTAAAAAGCATTAAGCTATGCATTAACTATTCAAGCGTAACTTGAACGATAATCGCTGGTTGATATTCAATTTAAGCTCATCAGCAATGCAGCGCTGTTGAGGAACTATGTTCGCTAAGCTTGTTGAAGGCCGCTTTGTATAGGTTGCTGAGAATTACCTTCGATTGTGCATTGATTCGATCCAGTCAGGCAAAAACTGCCATTGCTTCTTCTTTTTAGGCGCACGAAAGGTTTGCGTTTATTTTAACTTCCGCAAAAAAAAAGAATAACTGAATATTTCATTGCATGGCTATCAATTATCATTTATTGTGCGCAATAAACTCGATACACACAATAAAAATGCATGCCCAAAATAAAATTATGTATATACTAAAGGCCATCACACGGCTTTAAATTGAAAACTATATTTTAAAATTTAAAGCAAGTTGAATTTCCATTAAAAAATATGAGCACGAATGTTCAAAACTGTGCAAGGGATATGATTTTATGAAAATAACTAAAATTCACTAGTACATATGTACATATGTGGCTATAAATAGTTCGCAGCTGCATACTTTTCGGATGTTGAAATTTAATATGAAATCCCGGCGCTTTCATTTGTGGTTATTTTGCCGTTTTGTGGCGGTAAAACTTGACCATAATGTGCGCGAATAACAGAAGGTGTGCCATAAAATTTAATTGATTTGCCAGTAACAAAGGTGTGTGCACAAAAGTATACACCGTTACCGTGAAACTCGACAAATACGCAAAATTAAAAAGGTTGTATGTGAGGAAAAGNTATGTGGCTATAAATAGTTCGCAGCTGCATACTTTTCGGATGTTGAAATTTAATATGAAATCCCGGCGCTTTCATTTGTGGTTATTTTGCCGTTTTGTGGCGGTAAAACTTGACCATAATGTGCGCGAATAACAGAAGGTGTGCCATAAAATTTAATTGATTTGCCAGTAACAAAGGTGTGTGCGCACAAAAGTATACACCGTTACCGTGAAACTCGACAAATACGCAAAATTAAAAAGGTTGTATGTGAGGAAAAATGGCAATGAATGCACCGCCTGCGCATCCGGCTAAGAGACAGCTTAAACGTGCCACAGCTGGAGGGGTCTTGCATCACCTGCATAACTAAATACATACGTAGTTATATGTATGCAAACATACCAACATATATGTTGGCAAACATAAATAAGTTCCTTGCAACGACCACTGCTGCGCAAATAATAAATCTGCGTGTCGTTTTCGTTGGCAACGGCATTCGGCCAACTGTGGGGCGTAATTAATTTTATTGTAATTATCGGTCGTGGCAACAATGGCAAATGGCGCAATAAGCCAACATGTCGGAAAAGTTAAGGATGCTCGAATGATGTTGGACTGAAATCTGTGAGAATGCAGCCATTGTATGTATGGAAGTATCTTGCTGTGTGGATTTATACAAATGATGCGAATGTGTTAGTGCATCTTGCACAAACTATGTGCATACATATGTATATACATGCATATATATTCAGAACTCAATTCTTTAAAAATTTTCAAAGTGTAAGTACGTTGTATTATGTACGTATGTACGTAAGCTCANTATCGGTCGTGGCAACAATGGCAAATGGCGCAATAAGCCAACATGTCGGAAAAGTTAAGGATGCTCGAATGATGTTGGACTGAAATCTGTGAGAATGCAGCCATTGTAAGTATGGAAGTATCTTGCTGTGTGGATTTATACAAATGATGCGAATGTGTTAGTGCATCTTGCACAAACTATGTGCATACATATTCTGAACTCAATTCTTTAAAAATTTTCAAAGTGTAAGTACGTTGTATTATGTACGTATGTACGTAAGCTCGAAAAATTTAAAAATAATGAAAGAAATATTGCCCACTTGTAGGCGTTGGTAGCGAAATTACATGGCTAAAAGATTGCTTAATTGCAAGTAACGAATATAAATGGGCAAGGCCAAGGATTAACAATTAATGCGTATTTTTTAATTAGTGCGCTACAGGAGAGAAAGAGGTGAAGCTACTGGCGGCTGATTTAACTGAAACTTATTATGTAGGTACGTTTTTGGTGAATAATTCTGTATATAGAAGTCCAAGTAGGAGGGGTAAGCACATGAATGATATTCACTTGAGAATGGCAAAAAGCAAACATTCAAACCTTGCTTTCACTATTTCGGTTTCAAACTTTGTAAAGTTTATAGTAGGTATAGAGAAAGATTACTGAAAGTTGATCCATTATCATGTATTTGACGCTTGCGCTTTTGCTATGTTTTTGGGCGAGCTTCCCAATTTGTGGTGTGCGTGTTGATGTTGTTACGCAAATGGAGGGACCTAAAGTTTCACGCGGCCTCCGAACGGCAAACAGATTTTCTTATGAGAATTTTCCTGGCAGAAGAACACTCGGAGGTTTTCAATTGCCTGCCGAGGGGCAGCCGCNCAAACCTTGCTTTCACTATTTCGGTTTCAAACTTTGTAAAGTTTATAGTATAGAGAAAGATTACTGAAAGTTGATCCATTAGCATGTATTTGACGCTTGCGCTTTTGCTATGTTTTTGGGCGAGCTTCCCAATTTGTGGTGTGCGTGTTGATGTTGTTACGCAAATGGAGGGACCTAAAGTTTCAAGCGGCCTCCGAACGGCAAACAGATTTTCTTATGAGAATTTTCCTGGCAGAAGAACACTCGGAGGTTTTCAATTGCCTGCCGAGGGGCAGCCGCTGTTAGGGAAACATTTATTCTAATTTAGATGTATGTCCCTCGGATCAGCCAATCTAGGTCCTTTGGAGAGGTACGGCACCTCTAAACACCCATCCAAAGCAGCTAGCATACCGTATAGTGGTATTTACTAATTTCTCCTCAATTTAATTACTTTTGCGGTGTTAAAGTCAACTTTGAAATCCTTCAAGTTAAAAAGTGTGTCTTTGGAATAAACAGACAATTAACCCTCTACGATCTTCGTACTTTTTTAGTTATGGGGTAAAAAAATATCACGTTTAATGTACCNCTGTTAGGGAAACATTTATTCTAATTTAGATGTATGTCCCTCGGATCAGCGAATCTAGGTCCTTTGGAGAGGTACGGCACCTCTAAACACTCATCCAAAGCAGCCAGCATACCGTATAGTGGTAGTTACTAATTTCTCCTCAATTTAATTACTTTTGCGGTGTTAAAGTCAACTTTGAAATCCTTCAAGTTAGAAAGTGTGTCTTTGGAATAAACAGACAATTAACCCTCTACGATCTTCGTACTTTTTTAGTTATGAGGTAAAAAATATCACGTTTAATGTATTTGTCAGTAATGAGAACATGTTATAACAAGTAATTT